CCAAGAAATTAAAAATACAGGTGGAAATATTAAGGTTTAGATACCTACATTAGATGTAATGCCATAGCACTGAGGTAGCTGACACAAAGGAGCACCATCAGCACTGTATATACAGCTGGCGTATGATCTCTTGAGACCCTTCTTCAGCTACCTGTATAATTGTCACAGCTTATCTTCATATTCCATTTTTAAGACACTATTATAGTCCTGTGCTTTCCACATTCACTAGATAGATATCACAGAAAACAATAACAGTATTCTGTGTATAAACTTCTGTATGTTGAGGGCTTCAGTATTGTGAATTAAGTAAAGGTGAATGTCAACCATGGCAGGGCGAGTGCTGTAGCTGTTGTTTTTGAAAACTTTGGTGAGTCCTGCACAAAAATTTTCTGATAGTGCAAATAGGCCAATGAATCAAATACTAATGCAAATATTACTAGAATTACGGACAAACTAACATCAAAGCTAAATTAATCACACTCACCCATGGCAAAATCAATCCACATGAATGGTAAAATGGTTCTGGTATGATATAAACTGTTAAAAATAATAGATATTCCTGAGTCAAATGGGAAATTTTGTGATAGCAAATGGCATAAATTAGTTTATCAGAACATGACAGAAAATGAGTATCATTTTCTTACAGTGAAGCTACAATGAAAGCTTAGCAAATTTTTATACACTTTTTTGCTTCTGGATTCATCTCTTCTATGCCCTCATAAACCTTGACCTAGTGGATTTTTAATAATAATATCTCGTATCTCATTTTTGTAACTGTCTATGAGCAGGTGATAGGACTTTCATATTCATGGGGACAAAGAGGAAGTAAGTGTCCAAGACTAGGTGATAAGCTCAACTGTATAAAGGGGTTAACGAAGAGGAGAAGAAATGAAACAGAATTACAGAATCACAGAATTGTAGGGGCTGGAATGGACCTCTAGAGATCACCAAGTCCAACCCCCCAGCAAAGCAGGCTCCCTAGATCAGACGGCACAGATAGGCATCCAGGTAGGTCTTGAAGAGAGGTCTTCTCCAGAGGAGGAGACTCTACAACCTCCCTGGGCAGCCTGTTGCAGTGCTCTGTCTCCCTTACCATGAAGTTCTTATGCACATTTGTAGGAACTTCCTATGCTTCTGTTTGTGGCCATTTCCCCTTGTCCTATTGCTACACAGCACTGAAAAAAATCTGGCCTCATCCCTTGGCCTCCTGTACCTTAGATATTTATAGACATTGATAAGGTCCCCTTCCAGTCTTCTTTTCTCAAGACTGAACAGACCCAGGTTGCTCAGCCTTTCCTCATAAGAGAGTTGCTCCAGGCCCTTTATCATCTTCATAGCCCTCTGCTGGAAACATTGGCCAGCAGCAAATATTAGTTTAGGAAGTTCAATCCCATACTGCAGTGAAGTAAGTGCTGTCTATCATTTTTATTTTCACCTCTCCTTCATGTCCTTTCATGTTAATCATCTTTCACAGCCCAGCTCCAGTGCAGACAGCATCTGGCCATGGAATGATGAGAATGGTTAGGCTAGTTGTGACCAGCAGGGACAGGGAAGTGAATGTCCCCTTCTACACTGCTCTTGTAAGGCCCCATCTGGAGGACTGTGTTCAGGTCTGGAGACCCCAGTACAAGAAAGACAGGGAGCTGTTGGAGAGGGTCCAGAGGAGAGCCACAAAGATGATCAGGGGACTGGAGCACCTCCCCTACGAAGACAGGCTGAGGGAGCTGGGCTTGTTCAGCCTGGAGAAAAGAAGGCTGCAGGGTGACCTCATTGCAGCCTTTCAGTACCTGAAGGAAGCCTACAAACAGGAGGGGAATCAACTCTTTGAAAGGGTTGATAACAGCAGGACAAGGGGAAATGGATTTAAGTTGAGGGAGGGAAGATTTAGGTTGGATGTCAGAGGGAAGTTCTTTACAGAGAGAGTGGTGAGGTGCTGGAACAGGCTGCCCAGAGAGGTTGTGGATGCCCCGTCCTTGAAGGTGTTCAAGGCCAGGTTGGATGGGGCCCTGGGCAGCCTGGTTTAGTACTAAGTGTGGAGGTTGTTGGCCCTGTATGTGGCAGGGGGGGTTGGAGATTCATGATCCTTGAGGTCTCTTCCAACCAGGGCCATTCTATGATTCTGTGGATGTTTGCTTCCCCAGCACAACAGCCACTCATCCTAGCCCTCTTCACCAAACTAGATGTTCCAGCTCTCTCCCACTAAATCTCCCTGTGCTTGGTTGTTCTGATGTCAGAAGAAATACCTTTGTTTCTGTTTACTATCTTTATTTCTGCTACTAGAACTGAGTGGTTTTGGAATCCCATATATGATCAAGAGGATAGAAATTAGACAGAACTTCTTGAACGTGAAAGGAAAACATGCTTACAGGAAAACCGTCAGCAAACCCTATTTTCAAAGCCAAACTGTTACTTCAGTTTAATGATGGGGAAAAAACTGAAGGAATGTTGGAAGAGAAAACACATGGGTTGCTTAATTTGGAAAAATGCAAAGCTTACTTAAAAACATCTCCTCTCATATTCTAAGGCACATGGTTCTTCATCCTGCTTTCAAATAACCGCCTTCCAAAATTGGTCCTTACAATTTAGGACCATTAACAAGCTTTAAAACAAAAAGTTAAAATAGTATAATTACTCTGTTACTCAACTTGCTAATTTTTTTTATACTCCTAACTTCAGTAACTTTACATCTAAGCACTACAGTGAAGAACAGTGAAATAATAGAGGGAGAGTACATTATACCTAGCTTAAATTCCAGCCATTCAAAGCATGTTGAGGAACAATAAGTCTCTAGGGCCAAAAAGAAAAGAATACATGCCACAGCTGACTCAGATTATCTTGTTTTCAAACAAAATAAAAATAAATGCACCAAAACAATCGAATCAACCAAACCACCCAAAACCAAACCATAATCTACAAAACTTCTTGGAAAGTAGACAAATGGAAGCTTTGCCTTCCATAATTCTTTTCATACACTTTTTTCCCTTTTAACAAAATTTTAATTTTGTGCACGAATCTATGCTTAGTATCTCTATAGTATTTGTGAATCTTCCCAGAAGTAGGAGTTGAGTGCTCAATAAGAAGACTTTATTCGGACAAAATAAGGTGAAGCTCTTGATTAGTGAAGCTCTTAGATTAACGCCCAGAAACTGCATTAGACAAACCAATTGAGGTTTTATAATTAGTCCTCATTTCCCAAAAAACTTATCAGAAGAGAACTTTTTGTTTTTTTCACTTCTCCTTTCATTATTTTCATTAAACCTTTCCTGAGAAATGACAAGAGGGATGAAGGAAGAGATGAAAACAAACAAGAGTGGGGGAAAGAAAGAAAAAAAAAAAAAAAAAAAAAAAAAAAAGCAAGACTAAAGAACTAAAGACAGAAGCTTTTCTCAGAGCCTCTGGTCTCTATTTTGGTTACCTATCTCACCATTCAGAAAAAAGGATTTTTCCTACTTTTCGTATCTTCAGTATGAATACTCCTTACCACATGGATTAGAACAAGGCTTGAAAACTTTGCTCTTGTCAAAAGAATACAGTGGCAGTAAGTTTGAGAAATGACTGCTAAGAATAAATACAAACGGCATTTGACAGCCTTCCAAGGACTACAGAAAGAGTAACTAATTCAAAAGCTGTGATTAAGGAGCAGCTTTCAAACAGTTGTTTAAATATATTGTTGCCCAAGCAGAACACGACCTTACCTGGAGAAGGTTTGAACTGAACTGACTGGTGTGTCACAAAACAGTTTGGATACTTGAAAGGCAGTGAAAAATTTAGAAAGAAGAAACAAATCCCCTCTGGATGCGAGAATAAGGTAGTTGGATGTCTATATGCTTATTTGACAAGGAATCCCAGAGCAAAGTTTCCCTGCTATTCTCTGTTCACAGAGAAGTGTGGTCCGTAGAAGCTGAAGAGCTCATGAAGCCTACACTGGAGGAAAAGATAGACTGACTCTGAGAGAGAATTTCTGAACAGTCAATTAATGAACAGAATTGTGACCTGAGCACAATGATCAGCATGCGCTGTCAATTACTCAACACCTAACTATAAATTTCTCACTTCTCACTTCATACAGAGTTCTTTGTAAAGCAATCAAAAAAATCTTTGTAAAACTTACAAAAAAAAAAACAAACCAAAAAAACCAGCTGAGATAAATGAGTATTAAGTGCTATCGTCACAATTAAAATAAGATTTAGCACCCCTGCTTTGGATTCCTCACAAATAGGAATGCTTGATGTGTTGCAAGATAAAAGCTTTCATCCTATTCTTCAGTTTCAGACAACTTGACACTTCTTTCTCTCCTATGGGGCTCTTTCATAATGCTCTCTTCACTCACACAAAAGGTTTCTGTTGTCCACAGCAGGTGAATGACACATTTTTATTGGTGTCCCATTGAACAGAATTTACCTCTTAAAAAGAAATGCTGCAAAAAATTCAACACAGTACTTTGCGGTTCTCAGTGGAAAATTATTTCCACTGCGCAAGGTTAGTTAAGTGTACATGTTAAACAAGAATCTGTTAATAAATGTAAATAACTCCCCTGGAAAATAGTTTATTTTTATGTTCTTTATTCCATCAAAACTGCATTGCAGTTTTCCAGTCTTTATATTTACATTATTTGCAACTCTTTCCATAAGTGCCAGTACAAATGTAACTGATGTTAATCCAGAATAGTCATACAATTGTTCCTGAAAGCAAGGTGCATTTCTGAGCATTTTTTGTTCTGATGCGCAATAATATATATATTAACAAAGCTTCATAATATAAAATATCTTCCATGGCAAGTAAAACTTCTCCACAGCTTATTCAGATTTCAGTTACATAGACTTCTGCATTTCAAGTTAGTGCAAATAATGAAAGTAAGAGCCTGAGCAAAATGATGTAAATACAATGGAACAAGAGAAACAGCAAAATTTTTCTAACTCCCTGCATATGATTATAGCATTTAATCAGTATATTATTAGTATTCTTTATATACAACGTATTTAAATAATTGGCTTGTCTGAACTATAGGCAACAAATTTACAAATTAAAATAAAATAATGCTTTACACAAATATGGAATGTCCAACAAATATATGAAAATAAAATGCATCTAGTAACAAAATGTCATAAATCAAAAAGGTAATAGATGTCTTCTCTGTCCTGGAAGATTTCAAGGCACTTTCTTGGCAAATCAGAATTCTCTCCTTAGTAGAAAGTCTGCAAGATAAAAGGACATGTCATTTTATAACTGGTTTCAAAGCACAGAAGACGACTGCTTAGTATAATTCTGATTCTAAATCAGTTTTCTGCAGATTGCATAAGTCTTCACTCCAGACTTTCAGTGGGTCTTGGCCTTCTGCAAACGTTGATGAGTTTGGCCATGGTAAATCCTCAACGTTGGTGCAAAGAGGTTTAACACACAGCGCTTCATGCTGCACATCTCACAAGAAAGCCTTCCACGAATACAGTTACACGCATCTGCAGATACTGAGCTCTATCAAATGCTTTGCCGCCATTTGCAAGCATCTGAATTAAAAAGAAACTCTCGAAGCCCAACCCTCCCTGGCCTTCTCCATGGTGCTGAAGCACAGTCCGAGGCTGTGCCCCTCGGCTCCTGCTGCAGCATGCTGCCACTTCGATGTGAGAAACCATTTCCCAAAACAATGCTTTGTTTCTAACACGAAAAGACCACATCTCCGTTTTTTTTCCTCAGGTACTTGAAAGGGAAGGAAGAAAATACCCATGTTCTAGCACTGCAATTCTGGTTCTGAGGAAACTGTAGCCTATTTTTGTGCACTAGGATGAAATGCTTTAAGGCATCTGACAGAACAGTTGCCCTTCTTTCTTGCAGTCAACTGAGCATCTCAGGAGTCTCTCAAGATTTTAAAGCAAGGTAAAGTCCTTATGTAAAATACCAGCTAGGACCCAGTCCATTGTAAGCTATGGGTGGAGAGGAAAACAGATCCTCCAGCCAAAAGCTGGAGTAGATGCAATTGCTAAATCATGTTACAAATCCAGCGTTATTAAGGGAGCAATGTATGCAACTCCTGCACTGCCCTTTTTAGACAGAGAGAAGAGAGAAGAGCTTCTGCTGCCCTTCATCTTTCTCAGAAAAATGCATCCGTTTCAAGCAGACACTGGATAGCTCTCACGGAAACTAGCCACTCCATCTACCCAGTGGAGGAACAGCACAAGGGAGCACAGAGGAAGCTAGAAAACAGTCAGATCATAGCTCTGCTTTTTCCTGTAATGTTCTCTCTGTTTTCAACAGAGTAGAGAAAAAGTCAGCCTAGAGATATTTTTATGTGAACACAGTGTACATGAGCTGCTAACATGGCTTACCCTCTCTTTCCCACATGTCATATCAGTGTATATTTGTGACAGTCAAATTAGAACAACTGGTTTTGCAACTCAGGAACAACTCACGATTCTTTCATATTTTAAAGCTGGAAATGGGATGTGATAGTGGCTTATGTACTGTGAATATGGAAGTAAATTTTTGACTCACCAGATTGAAAGGGAAAAAAAAAAGTACTAGAACACTCAGAAATGTTTCTGAAAGGCCCAAGCCATGAACCCAGAGGAGTAAAGAAGTACAGATAAATGGAGAACAGATCAGATAAATGAAAGCTCATAAAATCAGAGATTTCCAGGATGCTTCTAAATGCAGAGATTTGAATAAGAAAACTAAAAAACATACAGTTTTGTAGGGATGTAAAAAAAAAAAGCAAAACAAAAAATAACAACTAATGGACATTCAGAAATGATTCCTGGCAAAAGAAGTCCTGACAAAGTAACAGCATCTGCTAGCCAGCCTCAGGTTTGGTGTCCTGATAGATTCAAAACGACGTGCAAGACCCAGAAGGCAAGAGGCAAAACAGACTGAAAATAGTTAAGAAAATAAATTATAAAATAAATTGAAAATTGTTAAGGAAATAAATAGTAAAATAAATTCTCAGCACCAAATTACTGCCATATTCCTCTAAGCATTTTTGCACAGACACCAAAACGAATCCCACCTCCTTTTGGAAATCAAATTAACTAACACTGACTCATATCCTACTCTTTCTTACTCTTGATTAGTATGAATTGAAGTCTTGATTCAGGACGAAGTGACACACACTGCTCCACCAAACTCCAGGCAGTATTTGACAGAAGGAAGTTGTGAGAGGAAACAGCCTTTGAAGAAATTTAAATACATCAATTTTCACTGATTTTATATATATGTGTGTGTATATATATATATATGTGTATATATATATATATATATGTATATATATATATATATGTATATAAATATATATATATATATATATATATATATATATATATCAGCCCATAATAATCAGTGCTGTTTTCCAAATTAGTATAAAATGTGCAAACACCTCATTGATATCCAACCGACTAGAGAACATTTGACGAGTACTTAGAATAAAATTTGAGAATGAAAGAGGTCCTGATGATGAAGTGATAGTGCATCTATTAAGATTGCAGACATAACACAAGACCTTTTTTCATATACATTAACAATTGAGCCCTCTTATTTAAAGGATTGAAATGCATTGATCAAGTCTTCATATATATTTTTCACCTTCACTAACTAGTTTTCTCTAAGTTTTGACAGCAAAATGTGACCCAGAACATAATTAAGGTCTACAGTGCCACCAAGGACTGGTAGGACATTACAATGGGATTTATATCAGAGACACCAGTGCTGACATATATTTCCATGTCCATATAGCCAGTCTTAATAGCAATGCCAGAGTTCCATGTTGATGCACTATTTATATCACGTTTCAGCGTGCACATGCAATAACAAGGTACAAATGTGAAATAAATCATTAGACTATTAAATAATTTTAAAAGAATAGTGAGGAAAAAATGATACTTACATAGCAAACATCCTAGGACTGTGTACACAGAGGGCTCATTGCTAATCTTGTTAGCAACCTTGCACATCTTTTATAATCTAAAAAACAAAAAATACCAACAGCAATAATGAATCTCAACTGGCAGATACTCTCAAACACTGTAAAAATAAATGTAGGATTTTCAGGCTTTCAACACAATAAAACCATTCCCTGATGGAAATCCATTACATTATGGGTGCAAGATGCAAAATTATACATTATTATATCTTGGGATCTAAAGGAAACGTGAGTGATCGCAACAGTTCATTTTCTACTTTTAAGATGTGTTAAGACAAAGTTGAGTTCCCAAATTTACCTGAAGGAACTTAACTCATTATTTGGGAGGTTATTCTAATAAGCAGACTACGAGGTATTCTGACATCAGACTCTCAAACTTTTTATTGTTCCACTTACTATTGACTTTGATAGGAATCCATGTTTTTCATGTCTAAATAAACCTTCTAACAATAAGACTAGAGGGACTAGTTCCCCCACTCTGGTGTCGTTAGTTCAAAGGACCCCTTGTTTCAAGTGGCCCCTGAGCCACTGCCATTTTTTCCAATTGAAAGATCTAACTATTTGGTAACACGGAAGTGAAATATTCTTCTCTTGCTTTATAACTTTCTTAACAGAAAACTTAACAGAAAGTGCTCCAAACAGCAAGAGACTGAGTGTCAACCTGGGATCAGCGCTTCAAGGAATATGTGTAAAAAAATATAACCATATCAGCAGGAGAGGAAATAAGCCATCCTTAGACATTCTGTGGCAGGTAGTGATATATGGATAACATAGAAAAACAGTTGTGCATTAGAAGACCTTGTGTAAATACTTCAGCAGTATTCTACAGAAAACAAAAACAAAAAAACAAAACCACACAACTTCTGGAAGGATCAGCACATCAAAAACCGAGCAGGAAAAGCAGAAAGCAGGTTGCTTTAAAACAAATATCACAGTTAGAATTCTAAATTACTTTAGTTGCTACTTACAAGCTGGTGTTGAGCAGTCCCTTGTATTGTGATACAGTCGATGAAAGTGCTTGCTGCATTCTGATGAAAATGTGACTGGCCCTGTTTGAGGGTAAGCAGGAGTTAACTACAAGCTTTCAGTGGCACTACTTTACAATTTTAAACAATACTGCCAACACATAGAATTAATTTGAATGTATTTTGATAAAATTACTCTCAATATTTTGCCATGCATTAAACAATTATGATGAAACACAACTATAACAATATCTGCTACTGAAACAAAAGAAAGTGATACTATTACTATGCTGCTATACAAGCTGAGTAGTTCAGTTGATGAGACAGGAGGAAGGGATGCCATCCAAAGGGACTGTCATGGTTTTATGTTTTTTGGTTCTCAGTATTCCTCATCATAACATCATGTAGTACACTGGGAGTTAAACTATTAATGCTCCAATTCCAGGTACCTATTCCTGTATATTACAGAAGTCATGGGATCTGGCCCTTCTGGGTGGGGCCATCTCTTACTGCCTTGCAGTGGGTGCTGGAGGGTGCTTTCCTAGCCATTCCAAGCTTTTCAGGTTTGACTCGGTCTCAGGAACTCTCTCTCTCTCCTATTTTATTTGATTTATTAGTCTCAATTTCAATTAGATTGTATTATGTTGTGTTATCTTGCATTCTGATATCATAGTTAGTAAAATAAATTTTCCTCCATAGATCATTGCCGCTTTTTTTTTCTTTTTTTTTTTTCCCCCCCCTTTTGGGGGGGGGGGGGGGGGGGGGGGGCAGGGGCATAGATTGAACTAGTTAACACCGTGACAGGGACCTGAACGAATTCAAAAAGTAGGCCCCTGTGAACCTAATGAAGTTCAGCAAGGTGTTGCACTTCGGTCAGCAAAATCCCAGATACGTATACAGACTGCATGAAGTCCTTGGGAGCAGCTCTGTCCAGAAAGACTTAGGGGTGCTGGTAGATGAAAAACTCAACATGAGCCAGTAATGAGCACTTGCAGCCCAGAAGGGCAACAGTATCCTAGGCTGCATCAGTAGAGATGCAGAGTAGAGAGGTGGCCAGCAGCACAAGGGAGGTGGTTGTCCCCCTCTACTCTGCTCTTGTAAGGCCCCATCTGGTGTGCTGCACCCAAGTCTAAGGCCCCCAGCATAAGAAAGATGTGAAACCTTTCCAAAATCTTCATATGAAGGCCATGAAGATTATCAGAGGGATAAAACATCTCTCCTGTGAAGTACAGTGGAAGGAGTGGGCTTTTTCCAGTGTGAAGCCACGCTGCAGCCATCCAATACTTAAAGGGAGCTTATAAACGTTGATCTTGTAACTAAGTATCTAAAATACAGGAGTCAAGTCAATGGGGATGGACCTCTTTCTGGTGGCATGTGCAGCAATAGAAAAAGGGGCAATAAAAGCAGAAACCAGAACACAGAAGTTCCATGTTAACACAAAGAATTTCTTCACTGTCAGGGTGACAAAGCACTGGAACAAGCTGCTTAGAGAGGCTGTGGGTTCTCCCTTTCTGGATATATTCAAAACCTGAACTGCCACCTGTCTGACCTGCTGTAGGAAACTTGCTTTAGCAGGAGGCTTGGACATTACAGAAGTCCCTTTCAACCTCTACAGTTCTATAACTTTGTGATTTTTATAAAAAGGAGGGAAACAGACTTTTTAACATGGTCTCAGAGTGATAGGATGAGGGGTGGGAGGAATAAGGGTTTTAAATTAAAATAGGGCAGATTTACATTAGATAATAGAGGGAATCAAGAAAATGGTGAGGTGTTGCCTTATGTAGTGCCTAACATAGTGATTGGCAATGCTTCCAATGGTAGGGGGTAAGAAACAGATGATATTTGAGGTCCACTCTAACCCAAGCTATCATATGATTCATGATCCAGATTTGAGAAAAACCTCATAGTGATAGACCACATAAGCCTTGAAATTCCATTAACTTCAAATTAATGGTAACATTTTTTATGTGGTGAAAAATAGAATGGTGCAACTGCAGCAGTAATTAGTTAGTTCAGTAGTCCATATATTAAATTCTAAGCCCTGCAAAAGTTAAGTAGCCTACTAAGGGTTCAATTTGTACATTAATCATTTATAAAGCTCTGTATGAATACAACATGGGTGTTGAGGAAAAATTTTGGCTGAATACTACTTAGGAACATAATTTTTTGTGGAAATAGTACTAGCAGAAAAGGGTACAGACCTGCAGAGGGCAGCATACGTTTTAACATATGGATGAGGCAAATCCCTGTGTGCACAGGGTGTAGCATGTTGTCTGTTCTTTCAGCCACTACTCTTTTCTTCAGATATATCATGTCATCTACTCATACTAGCATACGATAATAACATAAAGCTACTGGTCTTCAAACCATAGCTCACAGGTTATAAGTCACCAAAGTCTTTCCATAACTACTTACAGCCCCAGGAATGTAATAGTAATAGCATCCAAGATGAAAAGGAAAGCGAAAATATAACTCGTAATTCAATCTATAATCAATTCAATCTATCTTCAAACTATAATTCAAATCACATAATATGGTAAACACATAGCTGCTTTAAACCAGTTTTGGATACCTGAAGAAAGGTAGAGGTCATAACCCAGTAAATTAAGAAGGAACTGCTTACACCTTTCCAACGATTAGAGCTCACCAAACACTCCAAAGGAGACAACCTCCAAGTAGAGATGTGTCCCATTTGGCTGCCAGCAATTAAATGAGGTTAAGGAGAGGCAGATCCTGGACCCACCCCTTCCGGTCATCCAGGCAAATTGCTTCCACCTGTGCTCCCAGGGCTGGCTATATCCTTTCACCAGGTGTTCAATCGTTGGTTCAGGTCACGTTCCCATATGCATGCTTAGAATACTACCACTGCCAGTTAGGGACCAGTTTTCTGAGATTTGATCAGAGAAGACTGATACAAATCAAAACTAACTGAACAAGACTAAATTGACCTCCATTCTCTTAATTCAGCACACATAGGGAATGTGAATAAGACTTTATAGGTTGTTTCAAGCAGTGCTATAAAAGGATCAATATGAAGAAAGCTGCTTTGACTGACCTTTTAGTCAGAGGAAGCTACTAAGCATTATGGGCAAAGATATTTATTTTGCCATTTCAAAGGTGGGTTAGCAGCCTGGTAAAAGAGCCAATCTTCTGGATAATGGAGAATTTACAGAAGACTCCTCTTTATGACAGTGAACTGATTTGAACACTAGATACATTTTACAGCAGTACGTGGAATTCATGATATTTCCAGATTGAAACCTAATGCAATGCAGCCATTTGTGCTGAAGGAGCTGTCAGAGTTTTGGCAGATTGCTTTCTATTATCTTTGAAAGGTCTTGCAGAACAGGAGAGGTGCCTGAAGACTGGAGGACAGCCAATGTCATTCCAGTCTTCAAAAGGGCAGGAAAGATGATCCAGGAAACTACAGGCCAAAGGCCTCACTTCCATCCCTGGAAAGGTGATGGAACAACTTGTTCTGGATGCATCTCCAATCAAGTGGAAGAAAAGAAGGTTAGCAGGAATAGTTAACATGGATTTGCCAAGGAGAAATAATGCTTGATCAACCTGGTAATCCTCTACAGTGTCATCACTAGCTGGGCAGATAGGGGGAGAGCAGTGGATGCTGTATATCTTGACTTTAGCAAGGTGTTTGACATTGTCTTCCACAGCATCCTTGTAATGAAGCTTAGAAAGTGTGGGATAGATGAGTGGATGGCGAGGTGTGCTGAGAACTTGCACACTGGCAGAACTTAGTGACTAGTGATTAGTGGCATAGAGCCTAGTTGGAGGCCTGTAACTAGCAGTGTTCCCCAGGGGTCGGGGCTGAGTCCAATCTTGTTCAACATCTTCATCAGTGACCTGAATGAAGGGATTGAGTCTACCCTCATTAAGTTTGCTAATGATACAAAGCTGGAAGGAGTGGCTGATATACCTGAAGGCTGTGCAGTCATTCAATGGGACCTTGACAGACTGAAGAGTTAGGCCTAGAGAAACTGATGAGGTTTGACAGAAGCAAGTTTAGAATCCTGCACTAGGGGAGAAATTACTGCATGCACCAGTAAAGGTTAGGGGATGACCTGAAGAAGAAAATCTCTACAGAGAAGGACTTAGGGTCCTTGTGGATAAAAGGTTGGCCATGAGCCAGCAATATGCCATCATGATCAAGAAGGCCAGTGAAATCCTGGGATGCATTGAAAAGAGCATGGCCAACAGGTCGAGGGAGCTGATCTTACCCCTCTCCACAGTACCCAGATGAAACCACACCTGGAGTGCTATGTGCAGTTCTAGGCTTCCCAGTTCAAAATACAGGGATCTCCTAAAAAGAGTCCAGTAGCAGGTGACAAAGATGGTAAAGTGCCTCTCCCTGTGAGGAAGGGCTGAGATGTGGGTCTGTTCAGCCTAGAGAAGAGAAGACTGAGTCAGGATTTGATCAGTGTTTATAAATATCTAAAGTGCAGGCGGCAATTAGATGAGGCCAGACTCTTTTCAGATGTGTAGTATTACAGCAAAGAGAAGTGATCAAAAGCTGGAACATAGGAAGTTGCACACAAATAAGGTGCACACATAAACAAGAAAAACAACTTCTTTACAGTCAGAGTGATGAAGCACTGCAACAGGCTGCTCAGAGAGGTTGTGGAGTCGTCGTCTTTGGAGATACACAAAACCCATCTGGATGCCCTGCATGACCTATTGCAGGGAAACTGCTTTAGCAGGAGAGTTGGACTTAATGATCTCTAGATATCCCTTCCAACACCTGTAATTCTGTGATTCTATATTCTGTGATTTTTCAGCCATAAGTAAGCTTTTGAATAAACTGACAAAGTAGTCTTTGCAACTTTAAACTGGAAGATTGTTGCTATGTTTTATCTGAGTGAGTAAATAGGCTGTAGAGAAAGCATGCAATTTGAAATTTTCCAAGATATATGAAGATAATAACAGCTTTTGTCACTAAATAAATTTCATGTTCCTTCAGGTAATAAGCGGTTTTTCAGCTTTCTTCATTACCACAAAATACAGACTGTTAATTTTATTTTTGCCTTATAGAGCAATCTGTGTCGACAGGCTTTTCAAGCCAAAATGATAGATAGCTTTATGACTCATAATATTATTTATGATTTTTCCTACAGTCAAGGATTGTTAAATACAGTTTTTCTTTGGCTTCAAAATGTCTACTATTCTTGGCAACTAAAAGCGTAGAATAACTCTCTTAACCTTGAAATTGTAAAGACAATGGACTGTAAAGTTAATGTTGATTTCCTCTCTTCTTTTTCATAACTTCATTAGTTCAGAATGTCCTAAGTCTTGCATTTTTAAGGACTACCTTGAAATAGTTTACTTAACTAAGGTAGATAGAAAAAGGATAATGATTTGAACAGAATCAAGAAAAATAAATGTAGACTGTATAAGAAAAAAGACAAAAGATTAGAGGATCTAATAAAGCTGTGGAAAAGAAAAATCAGGCAGAATACCCCGTCACTGGAGATCCTAAGAGTATAATAAAAATAATAACAATAAAAAAAAAAAAGATGTAGCAATCCTGAGCCAAAAAAGAAATAAACTTCCAAGAATTTTGGAATGAACCTGCTTTCCTTATTAATTCCAGCTATTCTTAGTCAAGTAATTTCAACAATTTTGATGACAACTACCCCTGCAGAAAAAGAACATTAATTTAATAAATTGCTCCAGAAACAGGCCTCTAAGTGCTTTTTGCTCTTTTTCACTTCTGTGATTTAGTATTCTCAAAATACCTTCTGTAAAACTCATGGCTGTTTTGTTTTTGCTGTTGATTTTGAGCAAAGGAACTTGTTCCGTAGTCATCATTTAGCCTATTCAGATTCTTATGTTGAGATTGTTATGGTGGCTGAAAAGTTTCCAAAGTTAAAAATGAAAAGGAAACATTAATTATTAATTCAAACAAAACTTTCTTGTCTGCCGTCCTCAGAATAGAATCTTCCAGTATTCCTGTGCTACAAAGAATAGCAAAGTTCAAATCTATATGTTCCTTTCTTTTCTTTTTCATATGAATTGAAAATGACAAGGTTCATAATTATTCTTTTTTTGTTGTTGTAAGAGTGAAGGAGCAGCTGGGTGTAGCACCACTCCTGTGGATGCTATTAGTCTGCAGTGAGCTGCTGGCAGAAAGATTCTTACTGTTGTGCTTATCCTGAAGGTCTGAGGCCCTTCTTCCATGCAAAGGAAAAAACAAATTCTTCCCTTTCTTGCCATGGACTGTCCAAAATTTCCAATTCTCTTTTTCATGCACCTACTGACATCTCTTTCTCCAGGTTTTAGTTTCACTAATCCCAGTAACATTTAAAATCACTAACAGATTTGCCGTGCCGTACATCCAGATATTCATTTTTCTGATTTTCAGAATATTTGGAACTAGAAAGTAAAGAATCAGCACAAGCACTTTAATGCACTTTTTTTTTTTTTTTTTTTTTTTTTGAGCTTGTTTTTTTTACATTCAAAGAGTACAGTATTTTTTCCTGTAGTTACAAAATAAAGTACAAAAGGTAACTATTACAAGTGTAGCTATACAACTACATTTCAAATTTCACATACAAGTATTTGACTGTATTCATATTAAGCTTCTGTATCTAACATAGTTAATGGTTTTTTTAATTCATTTACACTGATATAACCTTTCTTTACTCTATTTGTCTGCTATTTTAAAACAAGCATCCACACATAAATATCATAATATAGAAGATAAAAAGTATTTTACCAGTATAGTAAAAAAAATTATACAGCTATATAGATTTGATCTGAAAGATGCATGCAGTCCCACTAGGAGCTTTAAAATTAGCACTCTTAAAAATTTATATGCTAGACTGACAGACATTATAGAAAAACATATATTTAAAATTAAAAATGTACTACCAAGTTCTGTCATTGAAATATTTGCCAGAGACAGTAGATAGGTGATGATGTATTTTAACATCATACCACAAAATGTTTGCATGTGGATATGTAGGACATAGACATATACATTCAGTAACTGCAAATGAACTGCAAATCAACAAGTAGCAATAGGATCATAAAAATGAAACATTGGGCTCTAAATCATTAATGTTTTAGCCTACTGTGTTTTTAAGGTATTTTAATCTCAATTATTTAAAGAGAGATTGAAACCAAAACATGGTTAGAGTTCTTTAAATTTTCTAGTGCTAAATGACAGAATCGGAATTTTACAGATGTGAAACTTGGTTCATTAAGCTCAAGAAATCTAATATGTGACTCTTCCTACGGCTACTTAGAATATTCATATAGGGGTAAATTAAGAGCAAGCAACTTTGCTTACCTGTAAAATGTTTTATGAATTTGTCTTTTAGACTGGAATCTCTTGGAAAAATTTCTGAGGAGAGAAGAAAACAAATATATCTATGTAGTATGAATTAAAGTAAAAACACTAATATCATGATATGACAAGAAATCTTCTGTAAAGAGCCACAGTAATGATGATCTTTCGAGATCCCTTCCAATCGCTGACGTTCTGTGATTCTGCAATAACTGCTCAAATTAACCCAAGTGCTTTTGCATTCCTTTCTTTTTCTTACCTTTTTTTTTCTCTGAACAGCATTATGAAATATTTTATTTAATTCACAGCAGAATATTAGATGCTGCATCCTACAACACGCACTACCAGATTTCTTGTCAACCATTTCTGTACATCATAGAACTTAGTTGATCTGTACAGTCAGAAAGACCATAAATAATAGAAAATGTGGTATCATATAATGACAATTGTTTGAGTACATGAAAAAATTATGCAAAATACCTACATACAAACAAAGTACTACACTGGCTATTGAAATAATAAATACCTTTGAATAAAAGTTTCCTACAGATCAACTGTGACAGATACGGTTATTTTTATAACTGTACACAGACCTTTTATACATATGTTTTTATCACCATTATTAATCAAAAAATAGTACTCCTCTCCTGTGAAAAATACTGTGTATTTTAAAATAACTCCTTTTCATATATGGCACTTTTTCCAAAAAGTAAAATAGGAAGTACATGTCTCAGAACAGCCAAATGAATCAAAAAGAACAGAAATGTGACCTAACAAAATAACTCCACTCACTAGGATTTTTTTTGCAATGGGACATTGCCTCTAACTTATAGCAGAAAGTTTTGTTGCAAGTAAATATTCTTAAAATTGGTACATTTATTCCAACTCTTATACATATTCCACTAAAAAACTGTATAGAACATTGTTCAGTAGTTGTAGCTATTACTGCAGACAAACCACGTCAACTACATGTTGATTCAAAAGAAATGCTTTTCTTAGCACTAATGCAATGAATTGATTATTTCTCAACCTTAGGACCTGAAGCTAAGCATATTTATTCACTAAAAATATTTCCTTGCCATTTATATAAGTTCTCCTTCAAACTATTGGAAGATGTTTATTATCTGCCAAAACAAATTCTTACCACTGCCTTTAAGGCAGTTTCCCAGAGATCACGAGTGTAGTTTTAGGCAGGAGTTTTAACCTAAAATGCTAAAGTACTACTGGAATTCAGCAAGATGAGCACACATTGTTTACTTAAATTTCCTTGAAAATCTCAGTTTTAAATGACATAAATTTATTTTGTTTCCTTACTTCAAATGAAACATCAACCCTTGTAACTTTAAACATAGAATTTTACTGACATAAAACATCAGGAACCTTAAAATTGTGCTCAGAATGAAGCATAAGAAAAGATAATAGTGAAACCATCTGGATGAGTTTTTAATGGGATGCCCCTAGTAGACCAATAAAAAGGAACAGCTGAACCCTGGTGAAGGCTGGGCTAAAAGCAGACCGCTTCTGGCTCTGACAAACAACATTTAGAAGCCAGGCTCTTTCAAAGTCTATAGAATTTGTTCTGAGAACAGTAACCACATTTTGCCCTGTAAAATCCTTTAGGAATAAAATCTATAATACAACCAGGACTGAAGATGTCCTTCTATATCAAAGGTGACAGAACACCAAAACCCCACCCTTCAATACGTAGGCAGCAAACCAAGATAAAAGATATGATGCTGAGAAAAGAAGGTCAGCATTTCAGACACACACAGCAGCTGTAGCTGAGGGTGAAGGCTGCAGGGTCTGCTTCCTACAAGCAATTTCTCTTGGCTCGGGTTTTCTCCATCCCAATCAGAAAACTAGGTCAGTATGTGTGGTACAGGGGCTGGACAAGTCTGCCTGCCTGCCGCAGCTGCCAGCCCTCCAGGCAATCATCCTTTCAACATGTGCCCATGCCTCAGCTTTCTTCAAGCGTTCATTTTCATCTCATATGGTACAATACATTTGCTTGCTGAAATGCAATTGGTGAGACCCTAGCCCTCCACAAAGACAACCCAAGTTCATTTGTATAAAAAGCACAGGCAGTACAGGTCAATGGCACTTCTGTCTGCTTGCTCTAACTGCATGGGCAGCCTGACACAAGCACAATAATTTTTCTTGTCTTTTAGCAGCATATGAGGACCTCAGTACTGCTTATGACCAGAAAAACTATTTCTTCCATATTTATTCTCTACTTCTTTTTCATCAAAAACAGGTTTTTAGAATTGTCCATGTTGAACATAGGGAAGCTCTCCCAACTGTGCATAACTGTGAGGCTGAGGTCTGAAAGAACTTACAATTCATATCAAACTAATGAACATAAGAAAGGAATAGTTATCACTGACTCCCAACCAGATCACACTGCAATCAGAAGCAGGATCACAACTCTATACAGGATTTTTTATCAGGTAATGAAAGATCATCAAGACAGAACATCTATGCTAATTTATTCTGGCTTTTAGCCTGTTCTTAGTTGCTCCAGTCATACTTCACGTGGTACATATCACCTATGAAGAGAGACATCTTATATGTGTTCTTGCAATGCATGCTCACATCCTCACAGAGCAAGTTAAATTCCTCTAATGTTAATTTCACAAATGAAAAGCAGCAACGTGTAATAAAAGAAGATAGATCGGCAATATATTGTTGAAATCAAAACACTGTGAAGTGACACTGGGCAAAAATACAAAAGAAATAGGAAAATCAAAGAAACCCATATGAGCAGGAAATACTGAGTAGAGGCAGTTTATTCAATCCATTCAATCCACCTTCAAAATCGTCCTACAAAAGCTAAAATACAACCACTATATGTACCATAGGAGAGAGCATTGGATTGCTTTTTTTTTTATCAGCTGGGGGGATTCTTTAGACTCATTCTAAAAACCTACAAAAATTAATGAACATTAAAGCATTTCTGGGAAACTTCTCCAAGGCAAGTAAGTGTTTCAGGAAAATGCATGTGTATCCAAGGGAATGTGACATTAGTTAGCCCTATCCCTTGGTCTGCTACCTAAACTGTATCTGTCAGATTTAAATGCTAACGATGCTAAAGTACTCTCCATAGCACACTTCAGTTAGAGTATTTGAAGCCTGGCACTTTTAGCCAGGCTTAGTAATTTTCCATTTTTCAGAATATCCATTGTTAACTCAGACTATCCACAGTTATAGATAGCATGTCACATGTTGGAATAACAGGCCTTTCTGAATCTTACATTGTTCTGCACTTCAAGGAGTCACTTATTAATAGAGTCAGCCAGGCAGTCCAAAAGATTACAAGCTCATAGAAATTTGTTTGCAAATAAACACAGTTCAAGATATGATCAACAGGAGTGGTAATGTATCTTAATATATCATATGATGATCCTGATCTGTTTTACATTCATACTGATAAATCCATTCTGAGTCAATACATGTTCTGCCCATTCTTCAGAAACAGAGAAGGATTCAGGAATTACCTCTCCTTCTTCCCTTCTTGCATACTTGCAGCAATGCCAAGATGTTTTTACTTCATGGAAAAATATAATGTATGGTGATAAAAGTGATAGTGATCTTTCAAATGGAAATTCATAAAGGAACTGGTAAAGTGTCAGAAGAATTTATAGAGATGAAAATAGACAGAAACAAGAGAAAAATATCCAGTGAAGAGACATACTTGAAAGATGAATGAATGGAACATTGCAATGCCAGGATGAAAGTATTCGTCAACATGATATCTCTTAAAAATAAATGATACCTCTGCAAAAGTAGTTCTTAAAAGCAAATACATAAGAAAGCAAAATTAAGATACTCTTTACTCCTTAATTTAACTCTGTAATGATTTCTGCAAATTGTAGGAAGGAATGCACAACTTCAATAAAATTTAAAAAAAAAAAAAAAAAAGAAAAAAAAAAGAAAATATTTAAAGGTCTTTCTCCAGATCAACAAGTAAAATAGAAAAGACTACAAACATAAGGCATCCTGGTGGGGAAAAGAGAATAGTAACATTCCATCCTATAAGAGCATATTGTAGTGCTGACTGAACTGTAGATATCTGACTACAGTCAGTGTTACATGTAGCAAAACATCCTGTGAATAAATGGGGCACCTAGAAATTCTGATTCAAGTATTCCTCTACACTGACACCACTCTGGGCTGCTGTCACAAGCAATCAGTCCCATCTCCTCACTAAGGCACTTGCCACACCACAGTTTCATAGTGCATAGGAGGACGGCTCCTAACTCATGTTAAGAAGAGTCAAATTAATTAATACATACTGCTTTCTTTTGTACCCTGACCAATTGAAAAGCCTCAGTTTCTACTTTCATTTATTCTTAAACTTTGGCTGTGACCAACTTGATTAAAACTTTTATTGTTAGGTCTAGGTAGGACAAAGTTCTTATCTACAAAACTGGAGATGTCCAGCAGCTTTGACTATGATGGAAACAGAGTTTAAAATGCTGCTATTCCATTGCAATTGGAATGGTATCACTTTTTATTCTGAAAAGAACAGCCATGTTAATACAGATTTTGAAGTCTCTGCGGATTATCAGGTGGTGTCTGATACATCAGAGAAATAGAGTACATTACTGAAAGCATGAGATGTTTGAACTCCCTTCCCAGGGACAATCAGGTCTGTCCAAAAGTAATCCACACACTTAAGACAAATGTGTGCTTGTGTTACAACTCATGGACTGATGTTTTTAATGTGTTTTCTATTGTACTTTTCAATAGGGAGTAAAGAATAAACACTGCTTTATGCAACAGAGAGCAAATCCTTTCATCACTAACAATCATGAACCTTTAAACATTTTCTAATTGTATTAGAAATAACTGCCATATAAGAAAATATCTACTTAGGTAATGTAATTTAGTCATTCTTTAATCTTTTCGCCTGTGATTTCTATCACATGGACTATACTTTTGCTTTGGTTTTCCTAAGTTTGCATAATTGAAAGCTTTATAATAATTTCTAATTACTTCAGTAATTTGTTTGTTAACACACACAAACATTCACATTGCTTTCCTCCAACAGATTTGCAGTTTGCTCCTGCGGGCAAGGGAAAATAATCTATTTCTGTACTCAGTATTCCAGGACGTCACCATGTTACTACTTCTGTTAAATAACACACACATTTCCCACTTACTGAATACTTTTATTTTGAGACTTTGATGTGTACATACTAAGTTCCACAGAGCATAGATGGAAAATGAGTCAATGATCCAGACAGATGCATTCCTTTCCCTATGTAATACCATTGTTTGAAATTCAAAACTTACCAGATGTTTCCAAGTGCTGTGTAATGAAGATTACAGTAAATTAGCAAAGATTTCTAGCATTTATATCCTTGTCTGCTCCAGCAGGTGAAAAATGACCTGCTATCCTAGTATTTGCTGGGGAAAAAAAAGACTGAAATAAACAGAACATTACTTGTTTTCACATAGATGAGAGTGTCTGCTCAAGAGAAAATCCTGAATTAATCTACAATTGCATACCACTGCCATCTACTGAATGTAGAGTATGCTGAATGTACTCACACATACCTTTCTGCTCTAGAAGCTGAGTTTAGTAGTCTTCCCAATAATTCCCACCTCAAGGCAGTCCTTTCAATTCTCACAATACAAACCTTGATCTAGAGCTTAAAGGTTGCAATTAAGAATTCATATTAATGACTAGGTCAATTTATCTTCTAGTTCAAGAGTAGACATAAACAGTATTCTAATCTCCTTAGATTAATCTGCTGTCTGTGAAAACTTTGTTTAGTATTTTGACATTATTTGTAGAGAATATTTGGAATGCTCTGTGATATTTAATTGTACCTCATTAGTTAAGTACTTAAATGCTAGTTCCGCTTTCATGCTTATTTACATGTGTAAGACTCAGTCTATGCTTCTAAACTTAAACTGGTGACTGAAAGTTTACTTTCCCTGATGTTCATTCCAGTAATATTTTTCTGATGTGGGCATGACAAAATATATTCCATTTATATGCTGAGTAATTGGTATCTTTTCACATGCTCCCAATTTTAGTTATGAATAAAATATCTGGTGTTACAAATTTAAAATGAAGTCTTTATTCTGTAACATTCTTTAGGAACTTGAGTGATGAAGTGGGATGTGACATCCGTCAGTTTAAAAGTACAATGACTGTAAAGTGAAAATTGAACAGGACCTGCTTTCATTATGGCTGATCCAGACCGCTATGTCAGTCACTGCTGGCAAGAGCACTACATTATAAAAAATCAATATATAAATATGCTAAAGGTGGGCATAAAAAGAAAAACTGGCTTCTAAAGTCTCAGTCAGGCATTTATTGATTATTTCTACTTTTTTGCCCTCTCTTCCCTGTGTCAATCCACCACTCATAAAGCCAGACATTCATTCTTATTCCAGAGACTCCATTCAGCGACATCACCTATTTCTTGCCCATTCTGCTAAGAATATCTGTATCAGTAATTCCCTTAAACCCAGGGAATTAATATTCATGCGAAGTCTATAGGAGAGTAACTGCATCTATTTAGTCCTACCAAAATTACAGTATTATGAATACTAAGCATTTAAAAAACAAACAAAAAAAAAAAACCAAAAAAAAACAAAACACAACACAAAGGATTCTACAAATGATTTCTTTGCATCGTATAAACAAATAAGCACAGCTTCTTCAAAGCATAGTAAATTAAACTCTCAGTCACAGCTGCATAGTCTTCCTCACTCATCAACACCTCCTTAATGCAATTGCAAGGAAATAATGAAGCTGTTTCGGACCTACATTTTTTTTCAGCTTTATTATTATTGAGAATGTCTGGCGGATGCCAAGAAAACACATGCCTAACTTTAGACACTGGATTTAATTCAGTTGAATGTATAATCTTTAGCAACACTCTTTATAGAAGAGTACAGAATGTTCTGTACATTTTATAACATAATATCGATAGTATCACACATAAAAAAGAATGGCTAACGTGACTTAGAAGTTCAAGGAAAAATGGATATTTATTTTTCTCTGCTAACTGATAAGCAAGAAAAGCCTTGCATTAAGTAGGAACATTCTGGTTCTTTGAAAAGCGGATGAACAAGAGTCTAGGAGGTGTTGCCTGAAGTAGCAGATGGCTGTATTTAATAAATCCAGTAGGATCCAGCCATATGATTCTAAGTGAGAAACTTGCTTGAATTCAACAGATAACTACCTCATCTGCTTGACATTATCCCCATTAAGCAATGGCCTATGGTGCAGACAGCAGAATATTTTCAGGAGTCCCCTCTGCTAAAACTCTTACAGGGCTTTTCATAATGAAATGCTAGGTATTACACGAAGATTATGTAAGCTTGTAAATGTATGATGATTATGGATATGGTGTTCAAGAACATGATTTAGTGGAACATTGTTAGAATTAGGGTAGAATGTTTAGGTTGCAGTTGCACTTGATGATCTTTGTGATATTTTCCAACCTGAGTAACTCTATGATTCTATGAGACATGCAAAACACATGCTGAGAAGAAATACATTTTTTGCTATAGTGTTTTCTTGTTAAATCCTTCATTCTTTTATTCCCAAATCATTATATAGGATTAGTTCCCAAATTAATTCAGAACATAGCTCCTTACACACTTCTAGCACAGGGCAAATTCACAAGTACTGTTCTCCTGTTTAATCTATTTTTTTTAATCTATTTTGTTTAATCATATTTTTTATGAAAAGAATGTCTACTATCTAGCTCCTTTTTAGATCTTTCAAATTGTAAAATACTGTTTTCATGAAAGGTAACTAAATTTTGGTGCACATAACTAAATAGATATATTTCAAATAGCCTGTATGTATCAAATTTTTCTTTCCAAAATACCAGGAGCATAATTCTGCCATCCACTGCTGTCTCAAATGGCACACGTGCTCATTTGTATGAGAAAATGCTCCTCATTCTTTGATTATGAGGGAAAATAAAAATTTTATGTTTTCTTCACTGCTGCCATTACCCCTTTATTCACCTGTGGTAGAAAGAAAACAAAAGTAAAGACTGCCCTCTTTTTTAGGAAAATAAGAACTTTAGTCCCATACCCTTGTACATCCCTACTGGCTCTCACAGGCCACAGTGAAAGCAGTGTCCAGGTCAACACTCCTACACTATTATAGCTAGTTTCAGGTACACTTGACAATACAGATCTCTCAAGCACAATCTGCGAGACACCCAAGTTCTTTCATACAAGTAAAAGGAATTGAAGGTGATACAAAGTCCTCTGAGACAAACTTTTCTGTCTGCCTTTTTTGAGCCTCAGGTGAAAATAGTCTGTCAACAGAAACTCATTAAATCAAAATGATAAGAGCAAACAAAACAAATATATTTTATACATAAAATATACATTTTACTTAAGTTTGTTTCTTTTCATTTTATGATGCTTCTACCTGGGAAGCATAAGTTCTTTCTCTTATAATCCAACTTTTTGACTTGAATTTGCAGGACTATCTTTGAGACACCACAACTGCTCATGTTTTCTCAGTTTATCTCA